CCACTCTCACTTTCATCACCATATCTATACGTATAGCTCACCATCACTCATCTTCCCTTCTGATCCATTTTTTGGGATCTGTAACCCAAAATCTGTCTCTGTAGCTAGGGTTTTCTTTTTTTCTCTGATTCCAACAACTATGAAGGTTCATCCTGCGCCAAATAAGCGGAACATCACCGTCCGGTACGATTTTGGTTCACAGTCCAACGYCGCTGCTACTATCTGCCGTCAAAAGAAGCTCCGGCGACTTCCGCACATCTTTGCCAAAGTACTTGAGCTTCCGTTTTACGCCGACGCTGACGTTTCGATCGAGGAAACGTCTGATTCGTTGATATTCATTGTTGATACGGACGACGATCGTGTGTGGGGGGAGGGATTTGAAGACCGGCGATCATAGGGTGGGGGGAGGGGCTGTGAGCGCTGTGTGAGGAACGATGGGGGAGAGGGCAAATATGGAAAAAGAGAACTCTGAATGGTTTAGAGACCCTTTAGATGCAAAATGGTTAAGAGGAGAAATGTAACCATTCAGAGCCTTTTTTTTTTGCCAAACAACCTTGACCTCTTACCGATTAAGAGGTTGGCTCTTAATGTAACCATTAAGAGCCAAACAAACAGCCCCTTAATTGATGTAATCAATTACCATTATTGCCCTTGATTAATTCATTTGAGCATTGCCTAATAAGGAAACATTATAGGGACTAGAAAGTAATCATGACCCTTTTTTTTTCTTTTCTTTTCCAAAATAATTTAATTAATCTTGAAATAATTACAATTAAATTAATTAATTCATTGCTCTCTTTAAAAACACTATTTAATTCTACAATGGTCCATGCTCTTGCATTATCAACTCTTTCCTAATTCAAAACAAAATAATTATTACAAGCATTAGACAAAATAATGTGGTTTTCTATTCTTATTTAAACCATAACTTAATACTCTCTCTCTCTCTCTCGTTTTTATTTAGTTATTGTGTTTCATCTGTGTTTTTTAAAGAAAACTTTTGTTAAGCAAAGCAAACAGAATACAAGTACTCCTGCCCCCCAAAAAAATGTGAGGTGTAGCAGAAAAGAAGGGGGCGAGAAGAAAAACCGGAGACAAGTTAAAGATTACGACAACCATACTACTAGAAATGTGAGCCTCAATAATGCGCCTTCAGCAACGATGTGCTTCAGCAAGAAGGTATACAAACGACTGTTTGTGACGATAAATTGACTTTTAGCAACGACTAAAACCCATGTTTCTTGTAGAACACGACACTGTGAGAATAAAAAACAAACAGAACCACCAAATAAGAAATACGGCGAAAGAACCATAAGGCTTGGCTGATCAAAAGCCACAACCCTTTTGAATGGACCCTTTCTTTAATGGAAAAACACGAACGTGCAAATTCACAAATAAAAGCTCTGGTGTTTTTTTTCTGTGTTTATTAATGTGATCATGTGATGTGAGCTAAATGAACATCTACAACCGAAATAACAAGTATCCAACTATGTATCGTGTGTTCAGCGTAATTAAAATGATAAAGAATGGGTAAAGGAAATTTTAATATTTGGGACGATTAAAGATTTATTGGATCCTCCTAACTTTTTCTATAAATAACTAATTATGTGAAGTATAAGGTGAATATATAGGTCGGGTGTTCTAATATCTAAATGTAATCCTTTTTTATCGCTTAAAATATTTTTATAAAACTGTCAGAAACATACCTCGTTATTAGAAAAGAAAACACGCACATATAAATTATGTCTGTTTTTATTTTTATGAACACGTGTAATTCATATATATAACAATTTATGAGATAGTGTATACTTATTAATAAATCTCCTTAATTTTATAATATTTAAGAGAGATGTGTTATATATGATATATAGAAGCACGTTCAAATGAAAATCGTGCAATTCTTAGAAACCGTGTAATCTAATTTCGACCAATAGAAAATTTTCATTTTTTTCTAATTAAACTTAATTATTAAGGGTATATTGGTCATTTGCATTTTTTTCTATTAAATATGGAAGTTATTATTAAATTTTAATTAAGGTAACATAATAAAAGAAATTTTATAAATGGTAACATTTAAATATTTAATTAAATTATAATATTAAAAATTGAATTTATTTATATTGTGTATCGGTTTATTATTGCCAGGATTCATGAAAATCGAAGAAATTAGATTAATAAATCCATGAAATCAGTAATAGAATAAAAAAAAATATTCATGAAACCGGTTTCGTACATGGTGAAATTGGTTTATGGAGTAAGTGAAAATGATTATGAAATGGGTATATGATGATATGGGTGCTATAATTTCATTATCAATAGTGTGAAATGACAAATGACTCATCAAACCATGTTAGCCGATGTAATAGGTGATTGAAGAAAGTGAAACCATTTCATGGTTTCTAAGAAAATTTTATGTAATTAGTGAACAATGAAACCATTTAATTTAACGAAACTGTGAAACTATTTCGTTCATGAAATGTAGTAGTAAATTTTATTATTATTATTATTCAAAAGATTTTATTATGTTAAATTGATTATAGTGTGTTTTATTTTTATTGTTGATCTATTTTAATGATGAATGTAATTTTATTTATAATATTTGAACATAAAATTAATATATTATTTTACAAATGATTTTGTTTCATTAATATTACGATATACATGATATGGTTGCCATTAATATTATCACTACCAAAGTAACCATTTTATTCTTATAGGGATTATAAAATAAATTTTTATTTATTTATTATTTTTTAATTTTCTAATATACCTAAACTAATCTTGACCATTGATTAAGAAAATAGATAAATGAAATTGGTTTACATGGTTTACACAAATGAAGACGGTTTTCATTTGATCGCTCCTCTATATATATTATTTTACCAAATAACACACATGCGTATTGACATTTAAGACACGATTTCACATTACAAACAATAATTTTAACTTGATATTAATATAACTAAATATACATATAATAATATAGTCTCTTTAAAAAAAAAAGAATCATTTATTTGGTTTGGTAGGGTGGTATACATTTTAGAACACAGTTATTTGTGAGAAATGTGAGATCCACCCACATGTACGGATTCAGCGAGTAATCACAGTACGAATTACCATGTCGAGGTTTAATATTTGAAACATAAAACACTCATACTTTGAATCAATGCAAATTATAAGTATGAATCACCATGTTTGTATTCAATAAAAGTCCTGATATAAATTACCATGTATTTATTCAACAGAACACGGAGTTTTCCCGTTAACAATTCCATGTCTTATGAAGAGTTGATGCACACAAAGTGATATATACATGTAATGAAGCTTGAATTTCAGAAAGGGAAAGATGTGGGCATCATCATCATCATTCATTTTGGATGTAGAAAGTGGAAAAAAAGGTTGGATAAAAAAGGTTGTATACTTTTTATATGATGAAATTAAAAAGGTGATTTCAAGAAAATAAAAAGGTGATTTCAAGAAAATGAAAGATCCGACAATCAACTTTCCCCATTTCTAGGGAACCACTCCAACACCTCCTTTTCATTCTTTTCTTTCAACCAACTACTAAGTTTTACACTGTTCTTGGTTTCATAAAAGTTGGTATTCTAAGTTGTGTTTGAGGTTGCTTATAAAAGCAATTTATTGACTTATTTTAGTGTGGTATCGATAATAAACACTTTTGAGTATTTGGATAAACAGTTTATATCAATGTCAAACCGATAATAAGAAGTTTTTGAAGAAGTTAAAGCATTCTAACTTATAATAAGTTAATAAAAGACTTTTGTAGAAAAGTATAAGTTATTTCAAATAAACAAATACCATTTAAAAGGAATCAAACATGGAACTCAATCAAAAATGACAATGATCTGAAATATACTAAAAACCAAACATGGAACTCAATCAACACAAATTAAATTCAAAAATTAGTATTTAGAGTCTTGTTAGTAACTTAGCTTAATGGTCTTCAGAACTTGTCTACTTCCAAAATCATCATGCATGCAATCTTATAGTTCATACATAATGAAACTTTCCCTCAAGAGTTTGTGATTTGATAATCATTTCCTAAACCACAAGATATTAATATTATATCTCAGAACAAATTGGATAAAAAAAACAACGTACTTTAACTTGATTCCTATTTTGATTAACGTACCCTCAAAACTTCTATTTTGATGTCTATGATGTTAAGTTTTAAGCATTTAAGTACCCGGGTAATTGGTTAACCGATTACCATGTTGATGTAACGAGTGAAGAAATGAAATTGAGTTGAATAATAAATAATATTGATTTGGACACTACATCACCATGGTAAATGGTTAATGTATCAAAAGTAACGTACTCTAACCGGTTACCTGCATACTTAAATATTTAAAACTATACATTTTAAGTACCAAAATAAAAGTTTTAAAAGTACGTTACCTAAAATATAAATCAAATTAAAATTCATTACTCTTTCATATGAATATTCGCCTTAACATTATTGAATCTTTATACCTAATTAATAATCCAGTTCTGTTTTGAAGTTGTATTTTATCAACTTCTAATTACATAAACATCATGACTAAAAACTTTACAACAAAAGTCTTTTCAAGACATCGCTGATGCCTCAAATAACTTCATATCCAGGTTCCAAATACACTTGGATCTGATAACTACATGAATTTGGAGACACTTTTTTACTTGAAATGCATCAGATTATGCTCCTAAAAATGTGTGAAACTTATTGAATTGCCATTTAAATATTCCAACCCTTGATCATGCACACAAATATTCAACAGCAGAAAAATGATGAAATACCATTCATAATCATGGAAATAGAGCAAATAGAATATATAACTAGTTCAATATCCACAGTACAGGAAACTTACAAAACCCATCTAAGCAGAAATTTTTCTTGATTTAAGCATGAAAAACAAATACTTGATCATCTTATAATTCGTTAATTCTGTCAAGTACCCCAAAAACAACATAGATTTCATCAAGAACCATCCATGGATTCATCAAGCATTTTGAAGTCTAGCTGCAAACAAACCAACAAAATCTGGGTACTGAAACACATCTTGGAAGATGCTTTCTTGACTATCAAATGTCACCGGAGCCGGAGAATGATGACTGTAAAACGGCAAACCTCCACCACCATTAAAACCCTGATCTAAATCAAACTGATTCTGCTGACTGTTCATTGTTGCAGCTGAAAACCCACTCTGATTTTCGAAAAAGAAACCAAAATGGTTTGATTCGACAGTTTTTTTAAGCTCGTGGGTAAGATCACGATCAGGTTGAGGTTTAGGTTTTGGTTCGGGTTTGGATTGATTGTTGGGTTTCGGGTAAAACCCGGTTAAAACTTCATCTAACAAGCCAGAATGATCGGGCTCCGATGGGAAAAACTCCTTGTAGTCATCTTGATTGATCGACGGCGTGGTGGAACCTTTGGAAGCATGGACAACGATGGCCGGTGTAGAACCCGATGACAAATTAGGATTAGTGTTAGGGTTAGGGTTAGGGTTAGGGTTACAGTACGAAGAAGACGAACCAGAGTTGAAGAAGTCATGAAAAAGAAGCGAGTTAAACGAAGCTGTGTTCCTCTGCAACGTCGGAACGGCGAAGTTGTCATAAGCTGACGAGGGCGCCGTCGCCGGAGCCGGCAGTTGACTTTTATTGAAAGCGAACGGATTGATAAGAGTATCATTTGGTGAAGGAGGGTAAACAAAGTTGGTTCTAGCTTTGCTACCACGCATGGCACGTGCTGCACAGTCGTAGGCACACGCAGCTTCCTCCGCCGTGTCGAAGGTCCCCAGCCACCGGCGTTCTTTCGACTGTGGATCACGTATCTCCGCCGCATACCGACCCCAAGGACGGCGGCGAACACCTCGGTACCTCATGGAACCATTGGTTCCATTACTGTCTTTGAGTGCAGCCCTTTTGTTAGCGGCGGAGTTTGTGGTGGTGGGGGTGGTGGTGTTGCACCGTTTTTGGACGGTGGGGTTGGGCGGTTGGAAGAGGTCAGATTCCGATGAAGCCGTAAATCCGGCGAGTCTTCTCATGGCTTCTTCCATTTTTAAGAAAATGGAAGTAATGTTGCTGGAAAATATGCACCTGGAAACCGTAGGGTCGAGTGGGGTATTTATAGGAGAGGATGGAAGGAAAGGTATGCATAAAAGGGTTGTACGTTGTGCATAAAGAGAAGTATATTAAAGAAAAGAATGTGCATGCATGGCGATGAAACTTTTAATGTGTTGTTTGTTTCTTGGATTTCTTTTGGTTCTACGCTTTCCAATCAAGCTTGATACTATAGTTTAAATTATTAATGATTATATATATATATATATATATATATATATATAATATAAGGGTTGTTCGTTTATATCTTAATAGTTTTATTAAAAGACAGCATCTAAAAGAAGTAAATTTTGTTTGGCAAAAAAAAAGAGTTGATTGGTCTCTTAATTGTTCTAAAACCCTCTGAATAATTTTGTATCTTGGGTCTATTTTAACCATTCAGCGTCTTAATTTCGTTGTAAATAATTACCAAACAATTAAATTTCATTTTACAACATATTATGAGTGTCTCTTAATCATTTTGCACTAAACCATTTAACAACTGTCAAACGGCTCCATATGAATGGTGGTGAAATACTAAACTTTAAAGCTTTATGAGAGATGTGAGATCGAGAAGAAATTTTTTAAATGGCGGTATTATTTTATTTTAAGAAATAAATATGGAGATATATTTTCTCAAAATCATTATTAGTCTGTTGATTTTCATACGTGAGTTCCTGTTCAAGTCTTTTATTGTAATTTTTTTCCAAAAATATGATAAGTCTGGATTTAAAAGATAAAAATAAAGAAAATGACACTAACAAGATTCGAGCTCAGGTCTAAAGTGAATGAAAAGCTTTGCAAACCAGCTATACGAGGGAAACTTGTGTTTTCATTGCAGTTTTAAATATATACATGGTGGCATATAACAAATGTGGAGGTCTTTTACGTGTATTTTTTGTTACATAAACATGCCAAAAAGTTTCACATGGTGAAACAAAAAGTAGATATGTATTGTGAAACAAAAATATGTTAATAACTACATTAAATTCTAGTTATAGATGAAAAATATCATATAAAATGATTCATGATGCATTGATTCTCATAGATTTCATGAATTAACGAGTTATCATTAGAATATATATTGTAAATCATGAAAATCATCCATCTAAACCTATAAATATGATACATCAAGGGTTATTTAATTGGTTGGGGAATTGAAAATAAGAATTTTTATTTTCCCATTTTAACATGGAATGAAAATTTAGGTTTACAGACAAATGAATCTATTATAATTACAAAACCAAACAGTTTATTTTATATTCAATTTCATTAACTACTGCTTAATAAAAATCTGATACATCTTAATTTTATTAGTGAGATATGAACGAGACGTGAAATTTTAGGACACATGGTTTTTATCCATATATATCTCTACACCTCAATATATATACCTCTACTCTTCGTCTGAAATTAAATGTTCACATTACTATTTTAGTTTGTTTAAAATAAATGTCCATTTTTTAAAAGTAAGTTTCCATTTTTATATCTATCTTAAATATAATATAGAAATATTGGTTTCTATCATAAGGGTATAAATGTCATTTGTTCATTTAAAAATATAATAATTACATAATTTTAAAATATGTCATTTTTATTATTGAGAAGAGGAAAATAGAATGTGTGTAGAATCGAGGGGGTGGGGGTGGGGGTAAATGTTAATAATAATTAGGGTTTTCTTTTTCAATGAGATTATAAATGGTTTTCATTAACACCTATGCCTACTTTGTAGGCAGAAAATATATGGTTTTGTGCTAAATATATATGTGTTGTAGGAGTCATTATTTATTCAATTAATAATTATAAACAAAATAAAGTAAAAAAAACTTGTAGAAAAATTGTAAGTTAAATTATATGAAAAAGTAACGTACTCTAATTTAATTTTTATTTTAGATAAAGTATTTTTAAAACTTTCATTTGTTAGCTAAGATGTACAGTTTTAAATATTTAAATATCAGGTTAACCGGTTGAAGTATTAATCGGTTATTATGCTGATGTGACAAGTGATGTGGTATTTAACTTAATATTATTTGCTGACACGAATATCTTAATCTTAAATTAGTTTTTATGTATTGTGATTTATTAGAAGAAAGAGTTAATGTTTCAACCAATTAGCTGCATACGTAAATATTTAAAACTTTACATCATATATATCAAAATGAAAGTTTTTAAAATACGTTACCCAAAATGAAAATCAAGTTAAAGTACGTTACTTTTTCATACAATTTATCCAAAATTGTATCTAATCCTTTTAGGAATTAATCACATTTTTCGTTCATGGGTTTTAATTACACCAAATTTAAGGATTTAAACCTTAAAACGAAATAATTGTAACAAATATCTTTTTTAAATAAAAATACACAAATTCGAAATATTTGGAGTTTTTCATCTTGCATTCGAGACTTTAGGACAATTTTATCCTTGATCGGTGGTTATAGATTCAGACTGAGAAATAAATTTTTTATCCATCTTTTAATTAAGGGTATAATAGAAAATTTGTATTTTATTTTTAAAAATGAGACAAATTAAAATAGTAATTTGTACACTTATTTTATGATACACAGAGTAACATCGTTGAAAAATTATACCGGTTGTTTTTATCATCAGAAACTTCCAATGAGTTATTTCGTCGATGGTTAAAGTGCCCTTTGGATTATATTAGCAGTCAATTTTATAGTTAAACAATGACATTAACAATTTATAATATATGCTACTTAAAAAAAAAACAATTTATAATATATGTTTATAAATTAAATAATTTTCACTGATTCCGTACAATATATTGAATGCATGCCATGATTTTCAAACGTAGGTCGATCGATGATGTTAACATGACTTCTAGAACTGACAAATCTAACATCGTATGTGTCAAGATTATTGGTAGATCTATGATCGACACACTTATTTAACAAGAGATTTTAATAAGTAATTGTAATCAAACCAGACACTTAGACATATAAGATATAAACTATAAACAAGTCGATAAAAAAATTATGGCAAAATAAAGAAAGTGGTCACTCATCTTTCCAATACTTGTATATTTTAATTTTGTATGTTTATACAACACATATTTTTTTCTGTCAAATAAATAATGAGTCAAGACTTCTGGATACTTGTATGTACGTTTTTCTTCTTCATATTTTATGATGATTTGTAGTTTGTTTGCAAATAAGTGTTAAAAGCGTTCTTTATATATTTTTTCCTTTGAATTGACAAAGCATATCGTCATTCTGACACGAGTAAATTCAACAAAAACAGTTAAAAATATAGCTGTATCAGCACGAATTTTTGGGTTAAAGCGCAAACAAGAAAGATATAATACAGGTCACTTATTCATCAAAGGATGGTGTTTGATTTTCATCATAGATTAAAAGACCTCATTTTTTGTTGGTGCATGATTTTATTGTTATCAGATATTTTGGTGCAGTTATGCATGATTCTACATGAGATGAGATCGATGTGGTTTATTGGTTAAGATATGATGAGTCAGGAGTTCAGGGCAGGAGCCCTTTGTGATGGTCTCGCTAACCGATCAACGTCCTAATACCTAAACGGTATACACCAACTACTTCATAGATCAAAGGCTAGGTTATGAATTGTTAAGACAAACCTAAGAAACCAATTGAGTGAACCAAAACTTTTACATTAGAAAGATAAACCTTAGGGGGGCTTTTGGTTCGCAGATTTTAAAGAATCTGATGGAATTGGAATGTTGAATTCTATTGACCAAATTCCATTACATCTTCTGGTCTATTATTTTTCACGAAAGAAATATTCAAAATCATACAAATTTCACAAAATAAAGAAATTTAACATTTCTTAGCAACTACATGGTATTTTGATAAAATGGAATTATTGATTTTCATAATACTAAATATGCCATTAACCTAACATACCCTAATCTCATAAAACCCAATACGACCATTGTCGACCACCGTCGATCTGAACCACCTCCGACCACTGTCATATGAACCACCGCCGACCACAACTGATCTGAACCACCAACGATTTGATTCACCGTCGATCTGAACCACCACCGATTTAGTAACGTCCTTTGACTTATAGTTATATTTTAGTTGTGTATTTTATATTATTTTTACATATTAAATAATTATTTTATTAAATTGCTTTTATTTTAAAAAAAATTAAAATTTTCAATTTTTATTAGTAATTTACCAATATTTTATTTTAACTCCAAAGTTACATTATGTGAATTAAACAGACATATTCAAATTCCTTAACAGATTCGATTCAAATGTTTGTCAACCAAACAGGTGATCAGACATGTAAACATTTCATTCAAATTCCTTCAAAGTCAAATTTCTTTAATAGATTTCATTTCATCAAAAAACATTCTACAAACGAAACACCACCTTAGTTTATAAAGACAAGTCTTTAGAAGGGAAGAGAACATTTGATAACTAATTCCGGTAAACAAGAAGTCCTTGTTTCATAATGCGATATCTAAACCCATAACTCGGATGCAATCTCCCTTTGAAACTTCAGGGCAATAATTCTCTCTTAATCTCATCTAATGGTAACCGTTTTGATAAACGTATGTACTTTTAACTGTATAAATTAAATCGTTAATAACTATCTACATTAGTGGTTTCCAATCTTAAATATAACATAAGAAAACATAACGAATCCCACGTGTTTCAATTTCCTCTTGATTTTACATTAAAATGTGCATTTTCGATTATATCCAAGTAAATTTCGTAAATAATCACGATTAAAAAATGGTGAAAATATCACTTACTACAAGCGATTATGTCTTTTATCATACTTGTACCATTTACCCATTTCCCCTAAACAATTTTTTTTTTTTAAAAATACAAAAACAAAAACACATAATTTTCAAAAATTCATTTTTTTTCATTAACTTGGATATCCAACTCATCATGCGAGCCGATTAATTCCACGACAACCACTTGTTTTACATATAGGCATTTGAACC